ATTTATAACAATACTTGTAAATTTGCTTTAGCTACTAAAACAAACATGTAAAACTTGAGCTCAATCACTGATAGCTGTCCTACTTGTACACTAACAAACACAAGAGAGGACTCTGATCAAGAGATTCGTCAGTGGACACCACCAGCTGCTGACAAACGTATGGCAAGATCCAGAAACCAGGGCTATTATTTTAGGTGCTGGCAAGAAGAGCTTTTAGAATACTTGTATTATTCTGATTATTCTTTTTAAGATCTTCCTAAGATCAAATCCTCCTACAGTATGCCTTTGTAATTCAGCTGCTCTGCGCCCCATTTGTGCAACTCCCACCTGTTTTATTCTCTTTGTTTAACCAAATCAGAGTCCTTTCTTTCCATTCCTACTATGCCATAGACAGACTCAAACTATGTTTTCTAACCTTATCTTCTTACCTCTACTGCCTTTTCAGCACCACTTTTTTTGTTTTCTTATTGTTACACTTACTCATCTTTTTACCCTCTCTGCTGGCTCCTTCTAGTTTCCCAGTGCAACCAGCCACAGTCTCCACCAGGACATTCCACCCCCTTTACCCTCAAGATTTCAGTTTCTTTCCCTCGTCCACCAGCTCCACAGCACGTTGCACGCTGCCTTCCTACATCTCCCGGTTCCATGGCCAAGGCTCCCTACCCGCTTCTGCTTTCATTGTATCAGCGCTACAGGAATTCAGTCCCAACCTATTTCGCTTACTCTTTGTTTAGTTTTGACCCTTAATGGAATATGGAGGCCGTTAGATAAGAGATATAAAGAAGACACAATGTGTTTGTGAAAACACGTTCTCTTCTCTACTGCCTGGTCCCAACAGAAAAGAACTATGCTCAGTCTCATGCTGAACAACTTCCAATACTTTTTCAAAAGCCATAGCTGGGGACACATCACACCAAAACGCGTACACAGACAAGAAGTCACACCTTAACAAATAGCGAGCTCCTCCTACAAATCACTGGGCTGTTCAAAGGCTATCAAACATAAATTTTAACATGCTCAAAGCACATACTCTTCCCCAGCTTCATTTCATTAAAATCCTCTTCTTTTTAGAAAGAAGAGTAAGCAACTAAAAGAAGCACCTTTTTCACCATAAAAGTATAGTTTGAGCACCTGCCAGAGCACCTCCATGAATGTAAATCACTGTAACTCACATAAAATAGGGAGAGAAAAGTGAAGAAAGTCAAGTTGATAATAAAGCAATTAAAACAGTTTTCGGAAACTAAACACATATACTGAAGTACTGAAAATTTCCTTCCCTGTTTAACGAAAATAATCCAAACACACACAGAGCTTGGGTAGCTGAACTAGAAAGAAAAGAACAACGGAAATAATATAGATATTATTATCCCAGGAACGAATGACATGGATTATACAAAGTTTGTTTTACATAAGAGAGCTACTAGAACATTTACAACCATGCAGGAAGCAGCTACGCAACACTGCAGACTGGGCTAAATTCTGTCTGAGCATGTTTTATGATTTACGAATTCGTAAACAGCAAGCATGGCAATGAAACAACTGACCCCAAGTTTCCCAACAGGCAGCTGCTAGCTGGTATGTCGATGACAGATCTCAGCCACATGGGAAGGACTGGACAAGAAAATCAGGACTGGGAGGCTGGAGCCGCCTGAGCAGCTTAATACTGAATGTTCCACAGTGCCTGTCAAGGGAAGAGAAAGGACACACAGATCAGAGAAAACAAAAGAAGAAACGCCATTGAACTGCTTTGAGAACAAACTACTAAAATGGAAAAAGAGAAGCTTGGAAAGTGAACATGGAATGAGACAATGCAAGAAAAAGCGTGCCATCTGGACTTTCCCATGTCCGTATAAAATTAACGAATTTTTTTTTGGCGGAATTTATCATACCCCCATTACAGACAACAGACCTTGTTACAGCTGGCAACAAGCCTCTGGAAGTTTAGATTCATGTTTCTGAGACTAAAGTGACTGAACAGAAGGTTTATTCTCTCAATTCCACTGCATGGATAAACAAAAAAAATACTTACCTACAAAGAAAACAGGTTGCAAGGTTGAATTTTTTTTGTTCCAGCTGGAATATCATAATCACGGCACACAATACTAGTAAAAGATACTTGTCCCAAAATGAGTACACCAAAGACCTCCCCTTACAAACCCCTACAATTTACGTAGATACACATGCATGTGTATACGTACAAACACATCAATATTTATGTGTATTATATACACATAGAACACAAATTTTGCCTTATTACTCAACAGCAGAGAAAAATGGAGTGCTCAAAGTTCAGTTAAAGATACTGAACATTCACTAACAAAAGGTGAAGGTTTGGCACGTTAGCAACGCACCGTTCCCATCCGAATGCAGGAATACATCAGCTAGATCACAAATGAATACCCTAAATTCTGTTTTGACATGGGAAGATCTTCCCCCACCTTTTCCATTAGACGCAGTGCAATTATTGTCCATGTACTGTAGACTGGAAATGCTCCAGAAAAAAAAACAAACAAAAACCAAAACTTTGACCCTTCTAAAAGCATTTTCTTCATGTCCTGGTCTGAGCTAAACAGAATCAATTCTGTTCAGTGACTTTTACTTCTCAGCTCAGTTTCTACTAAGCGGCTGCACTTTCTCAAGTCAGCAGTGTGGTTTGGCAGACAGCGGCTACTGCTAGAAACAGTGAAGCCCAATGTTTACAGTTACTGTCTGGGACTGGGATGCAGAAAGGTTCTTGCTGATACTTATTCCTGTAGTGCCCAAGGCCACTGCTGGCTCTGGTGTGCCACGCTGGGGGTGCCGGGCAGTGAGGGTCACACGGAGGTAAAAGGTGGCACCTCCGGTGAGTAATGGACAGGACAAGTGAGTAACAAAAGTATTCCATTCCGTACACATCTTATTCTGTATAAAACTGAAGGATCACAAGGATTTAGGTCTCTTCCTTTCTTTCTTCTGCAATGGCTGGCATCCAGGGACGTTATCATGCTCAAAAGAAAACACCCTGGAGCAAATACAACGGATCACTAGCAAATCCATGATCAAGAGGAGGAGATAAGTATTTTTGACTCAAATCTGATCTTAAATAACCACTTTGGATCCAAAAAAATCCCAAATTATAGTTGTGAGGAATGTTTTCTTCTAATTTTCATTTAAGAATACTAAAAATTGTACTAAAAGTTACATCAACAAAATGATATTTAAGTGGTAGAACAGAGAGAATGAAAAATAAGTTAGAGAACTGCCAGAACTGAAATTGCCTTTGTTAACTGCTACACAGTTTATGTAATTAATGAACAGAGTTCCTTAATGAAAACATTGGCTTAGAAATTTTGTGATTTTCCTCTTCAGCAAAAATTTGATTGGTTTTGTTTGCCCACCCTTGTGACTTGACTACTCTCACCATATGACTTGCAGCTCCTAGCATAAATTTGTTAATTCCTAATGAAATTCCTAACGAGGCGGAGGCAATTAACAGACTACCTTCAAGGCAAAGACCTTACTTTAGGTGTCCACTCTCTTACACAGTTACTACTTGTCAATTTTCAAGCCACAGACATTTGCTGAGACATTTTACGGAGGCTCTGGCCAGCAGGCAGGATTTTTATGCAGCTGGGGAGCAGGTGGTAATGACACAACCACTTGCTTAATACACAACAGTTCCCTCAACATTTGTTCCTTTTTTTAAATCGTTGTGCAGTGCTCAGTCACAGCCGTACGACAGAATGCACACTGAGCATATTCATTACATGGGAAATATATTCAAAAGTTTAAGTGAGTATGTGAAAAGGTAAGGTAAAACATCAAAAGGAAGAATTCTATTTCACAACTACTAATTAGTATTGAAGGAAGTTAACTAACTAAAAATTAAAACCTGTCAAGAAGTATTTGGCATCATCTTGTAATGAATGAAGTTACCAGAATTCACTATTCTCTGTTTGACACAGTATGTGCTTGTCTTTTATTCTGAGACTGTAATTGCCATTTTTTAACAAGTGTTTTCATACAGGGTTAGAAACTGGAATATCAACCGGATATTATGACCACCGTGTTACACCAACTTCCTTTTAAGTACTTCTTAAAATATAAATTACTCAGGATTAGTACTCTCAAATTCATATTCAGTTTCTCTTTTTTTACTGGAGTCCTTGCATTTTATTCCAAGATAATACTTAATGTTACAGCCCCCTCTACTGGAAATATTCAGTAGATATTGTTACACAATAGTCTGGAAAAATGGATTCTTCTCAAAACATTCAAGATAAATGAAAAAATATGTATAAACTCCAGCCTATAATACAGCTTGGATTCATTCATATTTAGGCTTGTACTTGAGGAAGCATCTTTGACAAATTAAGAGCTGTACCCTTAGTCCTCTGTTATCAGGCAAATCCAGGCTAAATCTAGTTCAGGCATTATTTCACGTGTGTTAACAGTCTTATCAATTTAGGCAAAAGGACCTTGAACCGTGACCCAAAAAACTCCACCAGCTCGCATCAAGTGCCATGGAAGAAGCACAGTTTAGAACGGCCATGGAAAATCAGAACTGCACGGGACAACACCCACAGGTGACCAACTGGAACAGCTTTTCACGCCCCACGTTCCCACACCCCACCGCTCCACACGAGGCCCTTACCTGAGGCTGCAGGTAATGAAGTCAACTTCTCAAGATCCAGAGACAGAGCGACAAGGATTGGTAACCACCATTACACAGAGCTGAACGGGACGCACCGGTTTCTCTCAAAATACATTTTGCATTTGCATTTTGTTTCTATCTTCAGTTTTCAAATAACTAGTTGTGCGGGTTTTCTTTTTTTCACATTTCCCCAAATAGTTCCGAAACAAGTAATACAGATGTCCTCCGCAACCCTTCTGTTCTCCTCATTTAATTCATTAATGAAAGACTTTCTCAGCCCTACCCCTCCTTCTCTTACCGTTCCCCTTCAAGGAGGGGGACAGTAGTACCACCACACTAGATTTAACAATATTAATTGGATACTCACAGGGGCAGGCATGGCTATGGCACTCTGGGGGTAAGGCTGGTGAGGTGGGGTTTGAACTACATGATCAGAATACAGCTGGTATAAAAAAAAATACATATGAAAAATAAGCAGAAAATCTTGTTTCACAATTTTATGGTTTTGCAAACCTTCCCTATGAATTTAAAACTCCAAGCTGTGGGCTACATTTATCTAAACTACTAGCTTATTAAACCCCAAAATTTCAATACTTAAATATCTATGCTTTCACTACTGTACCAAAGTTTGGTAAATTTAGTTTATCTAGATCAAAAAGCACTTCGCTTGACAGAAGTAGCACACTTCTACACTGCAAATTCATTTCCCTCGTCTCTAATGGGAACAGTTTAAATGCACAGATTAATACACTGAAATGTAATTCCCAGCACTATCATACAAGATATTTACACACAAACAACACCAGCTTTTCTTAGAATCTTACATCATTTTCTGAACTTCCACATACAGCCTCCTTTAACCTCAACAATTTATGCACCTGTGAACTGAGAGCATGTAGCTTGCAAATTCTAAAAAACTAATTTCATTTTTTTCTTAGTGCTCACAGATTTCAAAATTCTGTGTGTAAGTTGATACGTGATTTATGAAAGACAAGAGGCAAAACAGTAACACTGGCATGTCGTACATTTATGATCATCTACAGCATTTCAGAATCAAAGTATCCTCCTAGAAATGCTCTCTCGAGCACAAGTGAAACAATTTAATAGCAGCAGCAGAGGTGATGGGGTAACTACAGGCAACAGTTGACGTAAAGGCTCTGAACTGCCTATGCTTAAAATAAAAGACTTTTTTAAAAAATGCAAGTAACGTTTTTTAAATGAAAATACCTCAGGAAGTGCAGCTTCCACTAGCAGAGGTGGAGGTATACATCCACTTTCCGGGGGAATCCCGACTGGCTGATAGACAACTTCCGACGGTTGCAGATACAAGACCGAAGGTGAAGAGGCAGGAGACTGAAATAAAACATGTCATTTTCGTAACAGAAGATTTACCCACTATAAATACCAAAGCTTATTGTGCAGTCTTCCTTGCTACATATAAACAAAGATAAAGCTTTAAAAACTGTCAGATTCAGTTTTGATAATGTAAAGAAACTAAGCGAGGGGGCAGTGGGTAGAAAACTTGGGTAGAAGGATGTCCTTTAATCACTTCCACAATATTTTTCAGATTTTATTTACACTTCAGAGAGCACTGCCAGAGAAATCCAAACATTTATAAAATTGACAATTACTCTCAAGAGCACAAAAACGCAATGAAGTTTAATTTTCTCTTCCAAAAATGTTATATCAAAAGACCTCAGGGATTTTTGTTTTAAAATCAAACCCACAACACCTGGATTTCAAAGCAGTAGACTGACATCCATTAACGAGCAGAACTGATCATATCTGGACAGTTTTCATCTAGTAAGTTCTCAGAAGCAGATAATTTAATACAACCTTTTTGCCACAAGGAAAGGGGAAGATGCTTTCTTTCCATCGTATTTGCATTTGATATTTCAATAAATGCAATTTTATGCCCTCTTTTATCAGAAAGCACTGCAAATGCATTGCTAAAATACAGCAATATTTATTTTAACAGTGGTATGAATAGTGGGAAGCACATCGTCCCTTTAACTGAATGCCAACTAATGGCAAAATGCTGCAGGTATGAACTGCACTTACCTGTGGAACAGACCACTGCAATGGACTTTGAAGACACTGTGTTGGTGCCTGAATTCCGATGAAAAAAGGTATTATTTACATGACTAAGAACATGTGCACACACATACTAGAATTCCCAAATACTCAGATCAAACCACCTCAAATCTATAGTCAATTTTTCATTAAAAAGATGAAACACAATTTTCATTAAGCCTCCAAATAACTCATGCACACACTTTTAACAATTTTCATTAAGCCTCCAAATAACTCATGAACACAGTTTTGTCTGCGTCCACGCAGCCTCTGACTCAGGCTTTTCACAAGCTTCTAAAATACAGAAGCATCCCTGATTAGGGAAACAGAAGGTACAAAATGCAGTTAACCTGCCAATACCCATTAAAACCACAGATACACTGCATAAACCAGCAGTGGGCCATCACCATGGTTAGGGAACTGGAGAACTGATACACCGCGAGGCTGAAGGAAGTGGGTTTTTTCAGCCACAAGAAGGCTAAAATGGGGAGGAGAAAACTACTGCCGGCTACAACTACTTCATGCAGGGGCATAAATAGGAATGAGCCACATTCCCAGAGGTGTTCAGAGAATAAGAGCCAAAAGACACGGGCTAGAACGTAACACACTTGAACCAGCTGTAAGGAAAAAAAGTCGTCTATCATGAGAAGGGTCATGTACTGGAAAAGGCTGTCCAGAAAGGTTGTGGAATCTCATTCACTGGAGATACTTAATATTCAACTGGACAAGTTCCTGAGAAATCTCATCTAACCAGCTCTGCTTTGAGCAGGAGTTTGGCTTAGATAATAAAACTTAAGGATGGTACTAAATCAGTTTTCCAGCAATGCCAAGCAAAACCTTAATTCATTACATTTCCATGTAGTTATATAGGGAGAATAAATTGTATTCTAGGGAAAAGAAAGCCTCTGATCAAATTAAAATCTGTTTTTATGTCACTGTTTCGAACAGTCTTTCTACTTCCTAAGAACAAACAGATCTGCAGTAGTGCTGCAAACAGAAGTGCAGGGGTGGAGAACCGCGGTTGTCTGCAGACAGTTACCTGATAATGGAATGTCGGAGACTGATACACTGGCTGAGGTACCATCACAGGTGAACTGGAAACAGAGCGCAGCTTAAAAAGAAAGACGTTACAAGTCTCAATGAAGCTGTTTCAGAAATTGTCACTCGTAGCAAGAACCACCCTGACCAGAGGCACAGCGCTGTAAACGCTTAGGGCAGTCACACCGGTCACTGGTGTACTCCTTCCCTCTCCGCAGCCCAACCATTCTCCTTTCCCTTTACACCAGCTCCAGGTCTTCATCCGATCTGACAGTGACCCGGTTTAGGGAGCTAAACCAGCTAGAAATCTGCCTGCTGGGTGTTGTGGAGGCCAGTTTAGCGTCCCAGAAAGATCAATGGAAGAAAGGGGAGCAGAAATATATGGCAGGATAGAGGACTACAATAGCACTGTGAAACTCGAGTTCTGATTAGTTCAAAGCTAGTGCGTGCAACTCCTATACCATGAAATTTCCTGATTCCTGCAAATATTTAGTAAACAACAGCTCCAGAACTGTTTTAATTCGTTCTGCAATATATAAAAATACAAAATGGAAAAAGACCCAATCTGCACTGTTACATGTGCACAGTACACACCAAAAAGTATTAAAATCTTTAATTTGATTTATGTCTTCTCTAACATCAAATGTACATTTTTTTTTCCTTAATTTGTTTCTATAGATAATTTCATAATGATAAAAACTAAGAATATGTAAATAACTGAAGCCAAAAGAGGCAGCACTATTTGTAACTGGAAAGACTGAATGCTATGTGCAACACAGTGAATCTGAGCCATGGCACCAGAACCAAAGTTCAGTTCTAGAATACAAAAAAATATTTTTTTGTTTTTCAAAAAGTAGAGTTTGAGCAAGATTTCTAGAACTATAGAGTATGAACTAAAAACGTGAACAGGTGTTTATGTTTATCCTCTGAAGCTGAGGAGGCACTATATTATATCCCTGTTAGAAGAGCAAACAACTTCTGTTAAGAGAAATGATTAAAACAGAGGTTAAATACCAAGAAAAAGATTCTACAGCACCAAAAAAACATGTAAAAAATTTATTACTGCTCTCATCTCTGGGGAAAGTTTACTTTCATTTATTAGTAAATTGAGTTTCCCCCCCAACGTGTGCAGGGATCTTCCACTCATATAGAGAGAAAGCATATAAAATCCTCTGTGAATGCTGCTTTAACAGAAAAGTGTATATACAAAAATAAATCACTTACTGGCCATGGCTGTGCAACAGAAGCAACTTCAGGCATATGAAAATAAGCCACTCCATTATGGTAAACATAAGGACATCCACTTGAAGTAGTTAAGTACATTGCACCGGCTTCTGGTATTACAGGAGAACCTGGAATTAGTATTTTCAAGTTTTATTTAATTTCTGATCTTCGGAGAAGCAAAACATTCCAAGGAAAGAATACAGAGCAGGCAATGCAACAGAGAAAGTCAAAGTTGAAGGGGGAAAGGGAAATAAAGCACAGAGAAAAAAAACAACAAAAAACTCAAACACAAAACAACCCACAAAAAATACACCAAACAAAAACCCACACCAAAGCGCTGACGATGACTGAGCAAAGACCATGCTGAGTATTGCCTAGAGCGAAGAAACCACAGAGCTGGACCAAAGTATTCCATTCCCCT